GCTGGTTTGTATTGCTAAAATGAATTAAGGGTTTAAAATTTAAAAAAACCCAATTAGCAAATTGCAGTTATAATGTTTTCAGTTTGATGGGACTTTTAAAGTGTAATTTAAGAAGGTTGTTCATTTTCAAATACAACCTTTGGGTTTGAGGAATCTCTATTTTAATCCAAGAGTCTGCAACCTTTTTTAGCTTGGTGTAGTGACCTGGGGATTTATGCCAGTAGGCAAAGAGTCTAGTCCTAGATATCCGCATTTATTGGGCTTCTTTCTCCTCGGGGTTGAAGTCTCCCTGGTGATAAATGTGGTACTGAGAGAGCTGCAGTCACTCTTCCAGAGACTAGGGCACAATTCAGTGAACTGTAAAAGTAATGCAAAATGACAATTAAAGTAGGGCATTCTCTGGTACCTTGGGGGCCTGACAAAGTGGAAGCATTTGACTTCTGATGTGCCAGACTTATTAACATAGAAACATAATAAAATATAATCTACCCAAAAGTCTCACTAAAAGCCTCACATATCCAGAAGGGAGTTGAGAACAGAAAGCAGTAAGCAAAGAAGGCTTCTGAACAGGTAAAATACAAGCAAATAACAAAACCCAAATCATTGCACAGAAGTTCATATATTAAAGATCATGTAATTTCCCTCTTAGGACAAAAATATCTCAGCTCTCTACTCAGAACTTATTAACTCATGTTCCAGTCTATTCTTACAAATGTAAGTATGTAGTTTCCAAAAGCATGGTAGAGTAGAAGCATTGAACTTGAAGTGGAAGAGAAGCTGCTTTTGTTCTAACATCACTGATAAGTAGCATCACTGAATATTTGATTGCAAGTTAGTTGAAGGACAGCTGTTGAAAATTAAAGGCAAGAAATCAAAAAACAGTACTTTGGGGTCATTGAATATATAGGCAAGACCTTCAGGGCACAATGATTTATATTTAGAAGGGTGCACCAAAATAACAAATAAAATGTACAATTATGTCTTTTTACTCTAAAAGGAGCAACATTGTGATACATTCTAGAAATAAGGTATAATGGTTAGGGTTTTAAATTAGAGTTTCAGTTCTTAAAGGGGAAAACCGTAAGTTATCTGGAAAACCAAGCTATGCAGAATTATTTATTCTATAGGGATTGTACAAAATCAAGATTTTATTAAAACTAGGCCAAGGAGAAACCTACTCTAAGTGAATTCCTAGAAAAAAGGCTACTTGTTAGAGAAAGGATTTGAGAGAAGTATATTAAGTGATAAAAAGTGACTTATTTGCCATCAAGACTGGAAATAAAAGTTTGCTGTAGACCCATTTTTATGTCAAAATTAGGTTTTTTAGAAACAAATGTTGTTCTTATCTCTTTGCTGTGTTTCTCTGTTAACCTGCCTGTCTCATTAGAGATGGGGACATTTCCTAGTGAAATTAATGTGACATTTAGAGAAAATTTCCTCTCTCAAATGTTTCATGTTATTTGCCATTTAGAATACTTAAAGATGGGATTGGAATAATGTCAAACAAATTTTGATTAAATAAGGCTAACCAGGAGCCAATACATTCATGCAAAACAGAAAAGCTCTTGTGTTATTTCTTGAAAAGTGAATTCCTTCTCTGGTTCTTTATCATATATTGAGATAACATCAGTAGATAATTTGACAGAAAAGGTGCAATCTCCTAAACAGCTGGGCTTGCCTTAGAAAACACAGCATATCAGGTCAAAGCCTGTCACCAGCTCTTTGTTCACAACACTAGTTTTCTACCCTGAAGGTACATTAGAATTATCTGGGAAACTTTAAAAAATACCAATGTCTGGGCCCAACTCCAGGTCAATTATCTCAGAGTCTCTTGAAGTGGATCTTTGGTGACAGTATTTTTTTAAGTTCTTCAGATGATTCTAATGTGCATTTAGGGTTGAGAACCACTGGCTTAAGACATGAAAACTATTTATTAACACAATATTGTTTCCTTGTTCAGGGAGGTCTGAGTCTTATTCTATGCTCCACCAGTAGTGAGAAAAAAAATCTACTCTTTCAGTGCATATGGGTTGGGCTTGAGCACACACCTAGAACAAATATAAACTAGAATACTTGATATCAGTAGATAGAGACCCACCATATAATAGGCTACCTATGGCCTTTAACTCAGTTGTTTGGAATATAGCACTAATGAGGTCAAAAGATTGTATCTGTCCAATTAAAATGATTCTGTTCCATATATTGTTCCTATAACTGCAACTAAACTGCTTCATACATAAAGAGAGATGAAAGTGATTACAAAGGAAAAAGACAATGTACAAATTTGTTTAGCCCCAATCATTCTGGAAAAGTTGGTTCTAGGTACCTGCCTCATTGACTAGTGCTACCAATGACATTTAGGATGAAGCATGGGGCATTTGCCCATTGTGGTTTGTGCTGATTTGGGGGAAGGGATATTTACATTAGAAGGTTAGGACCCATAAGAATGGGCAGTTCAAAAATGAACGGGTAGAGTAAAAACAGAAAAAGAGAGGAAAGTGATAAATTACAATGACATTCTTTTACCTACAGTGGCAGATGATTCCTGTAGCATCTGTCCCGAGTTAACTGATTTGTCTTGGGGGTAGGGACTGTTAAGGTGGGAATTCTCATGGTCATATACATTATTCCATTAGAACCAAGAAATAGTATATTTGTCAGAGATAAAATTGGTTTGAATTTTCTTCTTTGCCCAAACATGTGGTTCTGGTTTTTTGATGAGAGACCAGATATCCACAGAGCTCCATATTTGTGCTCAGTGAACACAGGCTAGATGCATTCATATGCAAAGCCATGTAAAAATTTCTACTTGAAAACTGACTTTCAAAAAATGTGACAAAAATAAAAAACAAAAAACATGACAGTAGCTTGGGATATTGATCATGCTTTCCCTACAAAGCCAATGTCCTCTAGATTTCCTCTCCTTTTTATTTGGAATCTACCACTTTTCTTGCAAAACGTGATTTGATAAGTTTGAACCTGGCTGATAGAATACACGTGTGCTCTTGTTTTATTGCCTTGAATGAGGTCAAATTTCTGGTCCTCCTTGGGGTTTCAAGTTTTGAAGATAGCAAAGAATAAGGATTCCCACTATGAGTGATGAGAAATGCAACTGTAATCTCCTTGGATTCATGTTTTATTGTCCATATTTTACAGAGGAGGAAACTGAGGCACACAGAGATTAAATAATGTACCCAAGTTTGCATGGTGAAATGAATAAGTGAACTGTTATTTTAATTTTTAGGGGATGGGGAACTTCCATTCATTAAATTATATGTTGCAGTGATTATCATAGAAGAGCACATTTGATCAACCCCATTTCCCCCTCTTATATTGATAAAATGAATTGACTCAAAAAGCATTTGTTGTTTGGCTGACTGATGGATAACCTATCCTAGCAAATACTTAGATTGCATTCCCAACACAGACCTTCAAGTTAGCTTCCTCCTCCTGTAGTTATATTTGCAACAATTTTGCCATTCATTCTCTTATGAACAAATCAGAAAAGAACTGACCCCTTTGGTTATTACTCTCTCAAACCATTACTTCTAACAGCACCAAAAATTGCTTGTGGCTTACATTAAAGGGAATATAAACTTCTAGATAAAAGCAGTGCGAGTGGATATTATACAGTGTGTCTTCCAATGAGAGGCATGTGCAAGCGGCACAGATGTACCCCAGTCAATACAGGGCACTGTTGGGTTTTAGTTTCCTTCTCAATTCTCTCCTTTCTTCCAACTATTCACCGCCCACTTTTTACTTACTCTAGGTGGTTAGGGTCCTTATTCTGACTGTTGGCTGTTTAGTGCCTATGTGGGAGCTGGATCTGCTATTACCAGTCTCATTTTCTCCTCTATCAAACTGTGAACTCCTTGAAAGCAAGAACTGTATCTAAGAGCCTAGTGCAGTAAATGTGTGACAGGTAATCATCAGGAAGGTATCTGCTATTTTGTTCTCTAGACAACTATTGTGTTTCCTTTTCCAGGCATTTTCAGTTGAAGTGATTGCAGAAGGCCCTCAAGGAAAGGTGGGCATTGTAGGGATTTCCTGTAGGAGGCCAGGAGGGTAGAGGAGATGTGTTTGGGCATTTTTCAGTTCCTACAATGGTTCAACAAGAGTTGTACTTTAGTGTTGGGGGTAAGGTCTACTTTACTAGGACATTGTCTTACTTCAGTGTAGACTCTTCCCTATCTCCCACCCTTTCTAAGAGGTGCTGCTCCCCCTTCAATTCATCCAGCCGTTGGGTGCTCATAAACGGTTTTCCCATCTCTTTCATCTGGCAGGTATTCTGCATTTGCTTTTGTAAAACTTGCTCTGGCAGTCTACTGTAACCAGATTAGACATTAGTGTTTTAATGATAAAAACTGAGACAGGGGTTTGCTTGCAAACTTCATGTCTGACATGAAAGGCTTTGGTACCCCCTGTGGTCTGCCCTTTACCCTGTTTTAGGCATAGTACTTGTTTGCCTTTGTATTTGTGATAAAAGAAGGTCTTCTGCATAACCAGTGCTGAGCAAATGTCTTAAAACAAAGGGAAGTGCAGAGTTTAAATCCACAGTGGGGGATTACCTTGCCTGCATTTCCATATCTTTGGAATAAATATTTTAACATGTTAATTATCTACTACTAATAAAAATACCTTTGAACTTCCAGTCAATTTGATGGGCATAGAATTGTCTCCACTGGGGAATGGGAAGCAATTAGTTTCTGTAACGATTGTGAGTCATATTGTCTCTTCTCTATAAGTGGTTGCATGGTCAGTAGCCAGCCCTATTCTAGGAAATGTTTGTGCCAAGTCTGTCCTGGTCTGCAGGGGTGAGTTGCTACCTCCACAGAGGATAGCTCCCCGCCCCTCCCAGGCTGCTGCCCCACTATGGCGTTAGTTTCTGATTCATTTATTGCTTCTTGCCTATTTTTTAAAAAAAATCCTTTTAAGTAGGTACTTGGATTCTTCTTATGAATTACCTGTGTAACATTTTAATTCTTTTTTTCTTATTACAGACTGAAAATTATTCTTTTGATTCCAACTATGTGAACAGCCGAGCCCATTTAATCAAAAGGTATGTTGATTTGCTTACCTAGCTTGATTTAATATAAAAAAGAAAACCAGATTTTTTTTAAAAAACATACTTTTTTGGATTTTAAAATGAATGCCTATATGCTTATTGCAGAAAGTTTGAAAAATTTAAGTAATTCCATCACTTAAAGGTAATCCTGTTGGCATTTTATCATATTTCTTTCGATTAAAACGTATGTATACATATTCACAATTAAAAATAAAATTGGAGTTATATGAAAATATAGTTTTGTTGATTAAAAATGTAATATGAGAAATATTAGAAAACTTCCAAAATCTTGTTTAGCAAAATACTTGTTGCTATTCATTTTAAAGGCCTTAAAAGTTTTTTTTTTCCTATGGAGTTTCCAGTGATTTCTGAGATTGCTGTTATTTTGACAACTTTGAAATTTTAAAGATATTTTAATGACAGAAAAATTAACTGTTTATGTTTTATAATGCTTTTTTTTTTAGATGAGACAGGAAAAGAAAATTGCCTGATTTAGTACTCTTGTTAAAGATATTTAGAAGTGTTTCTGTGAATACTGACGAAGGTTTCACCTGGTGCAGTGGGCACCAAAGTCATCCAATAGGAAAAAAAAAAAGACATGTAGAAAACCTTCTAAAGAGAGAGAACTAAGCAAAAGAGAAATTTTCTTGTGAATAAAAGTAACAAAAACACAAAAATAATCCAGAATTGACCACTCAGATGATGCCTTTATTACTGTTTCATGTAAATAGCCTCTTGAATGGTCCAGTGGTTATTTGGCAGCTAAAATTGGAACACTGAGTGTGTTTGTTAAAATAATGGAAACAAAATAGAAAGGCAAGCAGGGTGTATTAGAGCTGCTGTAGAGAAGATCCGAAGCTTCTATTGTTTTGCTGGCTCTAATCCCATAAATTTACATAAATCACTGGAAGGGTAGGATTCACATAATAAACTAGCTTGTTGTACAAGTAACTTGAATTCACATGTAATTTAATTCATGGTGCTACAGTAACCCCCCCACCCACCCCCATCCCACATCATGCTACGTTTATCTGTATCATTTTGGGACAACATGTGACTTTAAGTGATGATCATTAATCATCTGAAAATGGAAAGCACTGTATACCAAGCATAGTATAGTTTGAAATTTTTCTGAGGGGTTGGGAAGAATCCATTTAGAATAATTTTTTTGTCTACAGAATAGAGCAAACAGTGAGGAATTTAAAATTCTCTGACTAATTTGTTTTAATGGGAAGGAAAAATCTTTATAAACACTGATTAGAGTGGCTTTGCAGTAGAGGTCTGCTTTGTTTTCTGCTTCAAGATTGTTGTTTTCAAAGCTTCTTTTAAAATTTCTAGTGAAAACAGTGACTTGCCTTATCCTTACAGGTCCCTTGGGCAAGCTATTTCTGGATACTTGGGAATTCTATGACCAAGTTAAACTGATAACATGAGTCGTATTTTCATTGCCTGGCAGAAAGCTAAGACTCCTGGGGACCCTCATGTCTTAGGTCAGCCCTGAATATCCAATTTAAAAGGCAGACTGATGAAATTAAAACTTATGTCAAACATTTACCTTTTGGGATATGTGTATTTCCACAATAGCTTTTTGACTCACTGGGAACTGGGAATCTCTCATCTGATTACTTTATAACACACACACACACACACAGAGAGAGAGAGAGAGAGAGAGAGAGAGAGAGAGAGAGAGGGCATGACCTGGAATTAATAGGGCCTGATGGTGGCTGAAACAAAAAATAGGAGTTTTTAAGTCTTCACTAAGGACCTTCTTCTTTTTTTTTTCATTGATAAATACAACTTTGTTTATTTACTAAATGTATCATAGTATTTTATATTATATATACAAGGTAAAATGACTAAATAGAATGAATTAACACAATCATTATTTCATATAATTATCAGCTTTGTGCTTACAAGGTATTGTATTCCTTCTACTAGTTTTATGAAAAACATAATACACTGACCATGTGGTAAAACAAAACTCTTTACCCTCTTATGCTCAATAAAATAAAAATATGGAGACTTTGACTATAATATCAACCCTTCACAAAACACAGTATCTGGTGAGCAAAATTTTACTCACTAAATTTCCGACTTCCTCATGTGAATCAAATGTTCCTGAACTTGATATCTGCTTGCCACATTTCACTTAATGCAAAGTCCTGCATATATTTCTTATAAGACTTTAAGAGACAAAATATTCTTACAACTAAATAACAATAGTATATAAGTACAATATTTTTACACATTTGATTATTGATGGGCACATACATTGAGTTAAGGACCTTCTTCATTAAGACAAAATATTTTAAAGCAGAGAGACATACATGCATTTTTGCCAGTTTCTGTTATGGGACTGCAAAGGCTTTGGAAAACCATTAAGGCCTTGGAATTTATGGAGTCAATTGAGTTTAAACAAAGAACAATACCTGGAAAGATACAGAGTGCTATTTTGTATGCTATGCTTTCCTGTGGAGTAACCATTATAAGTATAAAGTGTGGAGAAAATGTTAAAAGAGAGTAGTTACTAACACCAAGTTTTCAAACCAGGCAAAGTGTGTTCAAATAGCTCACAACAATTTTTTGAAAGGGTTTTTTCCATATGTGGTTTCTTGAAGATCCATATCTATGCATGGGAAAAACTCTTGGCCAGGAAATTCTTAATTGGATTATAAATTTTAATTTTGAAAATGCCAGTCTAATCTCAAGCCTACTTTGTGAACTTGTTTTCCTGTCTCTTTTCTCATCCTCTGTTCGTTATCTACTCATCCAAAGATGTTTCTTGGATCATTCTTCCTGGCATTCTTGGACAATCTATTTATACATGGAGATCTTTTCCTCTTTCATATATATCTATCTTAGATAGTTGAACAGGCCTGCCATTGTTCTCTAATTTTTTCCTGTATCAATCAGGAAATAGTTACATGATATAGTTGACCTACTGAATTGTACTAATTTAAGGAAAGTTCTTTTTTACAAAGGGACTATTTGCAAAGACTTGGGCAAGAGATAACACAGTATTCTGGTATAAGAACAATAGAGTTGAAAATACTTTTGAAAAGACTAGGGAAGAAAGCAAGGAGGGAACACTGACTACAGAATAATAGTGACTTCTGGTCAATTGAAGGATACAGTCACCATTAAGTGACCCTGCAAGAGGGGAGCAGAGATAATGAATACCCTAACATCACTCTCCTCTTACCCTCTGACCTCCTTCTCATGTCCTCCATGGGCTAATCCCAATGGAACGCCACAGGGCAAGGGGATTTTTCATAGGCATAAATCAAAGTTGAGAAGAATCAAGAGTGAATCTAGAAGGGAACAGGAAGATATATAGCACATTCTCCATAATATTTTTAAATAAAGAATCTAGCATTATATCTTTGTAGTTTTTTTTTTCTCCAGAACATCATCTGCAGTCTGGAGGTATCTCAAGGAGGTTTATAAAAGAGTTCCAGATTAGCAAACCAAGAGAGTTTGAAAATTATTCCGGATGGATTTCCTTCCTGCTGTATTTGTTTTCTTGCTATCTTCTCAGAAGAAGAAAGCCAGCAGTGGTAACTTTGCCCCTGATGCAACACTGTCTTTGCTCATGCCTGCTTTCTATGCTGTTGTCTGATATCCACTCCTGTAGTGCTTTTGGAGCAATATCAAGCAGGGCCTAAGGATGTAGATCAAAGGAAATAGAATAAGAAATGAACAAGATGCTGAAGCAGCATGGAAAGGAAAATAAACATCAGCTCCTAAACCATGCACAGTGCTTTCCTTTATCACCAACATTGTCCTGAGGTTTTGTAGCATTTGGTATGGTGCCTTGAATATAGTAAGTTCTTGGTACATGTTTACTGAATGAATGGAAGAAAGAGGTTGAAGGAAACCTCAGCTTTTTTTTCCATTAAAAACTAGTGCTAAACTTCCCTTTAAGCCAATGATTTCTGAACTTTAGTGTGTGTTGGGAATCACCTAAGAGACTTGTTAAATACAGTCTCTAGCCCCATTCTTAGAGAATCTCCAGTTTTAACAGGTTCCCAAGGTGATTGTGATACAGCTGGTCTAGAAACCACTTTAGGATCTTCCTTAGATTCCTAAACACAGTTATAATACTCTTTCAACTCTTACCCCCTTCTTATTTTTAGTCTCAGTTGTATTCCCTGGGTATGTGGTGTCACCTACTGGGAAGATATGGCCTATTTCCTTTCAGATTCTTCATATTATTGAAAAAGATTCTAATTTTTTAAAAGAATTCTAATATTTTAAATGGTAGATACAGATCAGAATGTGTATGATGTTCATTCATCAAATATTTTCTGAGTAACTCTGTATGCAGAGTCCTGTTAAGGTGTTTTCAAGAGAACCTGTTCTGTTGGCCACCAGAACAGTAATAGAAACATTTGCATTTACAATACCATTGCAAACAGGTACCCTTAATTTATTGTCCTACAAAAGTTGTTTTATAAGTCTTTCATCTCCCAAGAGGTACACAGGTAATTAAGTAAGTGAAATCAGCATTTTTAATGCCTGACATAAATTGTTATTTGTTTTGGGTGAGTAGCCATTTATCAGACTGCTTTACAATTTGTAGCATCTTGCTCACTGAGTCTTAAACTGCCTTACACAAATCCATTCATTAAGCCAATAAATGTCCTTACAAGATCAGAGTCAGTGGTACTTAGTTTGTCAGATGAGCAAAGTGATCCTTAAATGAGTTAACTATTCCAAGGTTTGGGGGTGGGTAGTGGTTATATCTTTTGCTTTTCTTTTTGAGAATACACAACTTCTCAAATTCACACTACAGTCCCTTAGATTCCAGTAGCTAGTCCTTTACAGTTTTGTTTTATTATTTCTATCATTTTTGCCTAAAGAAAAAAGCTCTGAGGTAGTTTATAACATTCAGATGCATATAAAATGGATGATCAAATTTTAAAAAGGCAGATCAAAAACCAATTAGGAGAAGCAAGATAGAGATTCCTGGCATCCAGGGAGGTAACTCAGTGCAATTCAAGATTACATTTACCTTGCATCTTTTGAGATGCCAAGACTGAAAAATAAATGCATCAGGTCATATAGTTCTCATTATTCAATTAAGAAAATGTACATATTTGAGAGAACTACTTTTTTTCTGTTCCTGAATTTTAGGAGAAATAACATTATGGACAATGTGTGACTGTTGTTTACAGAAGTGTAGAAATAGTCTTTAAATATAAATTTTCCTATACCAAACTGGTAAAAGACCATGGATATATTATTTAGTTACAATTCAATGAAGGTATTACCATGCAGGTAATGATCATATTAAATTGTAATATTTATTGAGCATTTGTATATGTGATACTTCATGTGTATTGTCTTGTTGAATCCTCAAAATGGTCTTTTGAAGGAGAGTTTAGCAACTGTATTTTATAGACAAGGAAATTGAGACTCAAAGACATCAGATATCAAGCCTAGGATCACATAGATGAAGGGGCAGATGACAGATTTTCATGTGTCCTAATGACTACAAGTTCAGTGCTTTTCCCAGTATAGTCTGTTACAGGAATAGAGTTTAGAGAATCTAAAGCAGTTGTTCTCAACTGGGGGTGATTTGACAATATCTCCCTGGAGACAAAATGATTGTTATTCTTGTGGGCCACTACTGTCAGCTCATGGATAAAGCTCAGGGATGTTGTTAAACATCTTACAATGCACAGGACAGCCACAGCAAAGAATTATGTGGCCAAGAATGTCAATAGTGCCAAGGTTAAGAAACCCTGCTCTGAAGGATGGTCAACTACATTGTCCTTGCACTCTATCCCTCACCATCATATATTTTATGTAAGTTTTGGAAACTGCTGAAATGCAGTCAATTCAGAATTGAATTTTCTGGCTTAATATGCCAGTTTTGTTTTGGGGATTAAATAACTTTTCATTATGTTTCAGATAACAGATAATACAGGTTGAAAAGTTAATTTTTGTTATCAAGATGGAACAGTCTGTAATATCATCCAGACAGGTCATTTCCCTTCTCTTGAAGAATATGAGTGCTTGTAGGCAGGGCTAATTGTTTTTCTAAAGTAGAAACTTTGAATCTATTTAAACTGTGGAATTGGTATTTACAGAATCTGTACCATAAAGCTAGAAATTATAAGATACTTCAAATGAAGTGTTTCCAATTGGTCTTCTTGACCATGAAAAAATTATAGAATGATTTTGTTTTAATAGAGCTGCATCCTGGTATGTTCATAGGGCTAAGTTATCTGAGTGAGCTGGCCTATTAAGTGATTTTAGTTTTAGTGAAGTAAGTTGATGCTCAGTTTTCCTTTCTGAAAATAATTACCCAACAGGCCAGTGCTTCACTCTATCCTACTCTTCATTTTCTTATACTTTTTGCTTTCCAGTTATTACCCTCTTGATCTTTTCCTTTTAAAATTCAGGTCAGCCAGTTTTTAGCACCTAGGTGGGTCATATGTTAAAAATTAGTTGTGAGTCCTTTTGGCCAAGTGCAAAGAATTACAGTGTATTTATTGTGTATATGACATAGCTCTTCATCATATGTACTGAATATTCTTATGAAAGTCTCAGAGAGTCAGGCCTGTGAATGTTTAAATTTGAACAGATCAAGCGAGTTTGCAGTACTATCTCCACAGGGCTCCCTTTGCAGAGGCACAGTAGGTCTATTGGGGCTTGTCCTAATTCACAAGTGTACCACTCTTCCTTGTTAGGACAGCAACACATTTTCTTGAGTGTGCCTTTGCTGCTATCTCACTAACTAGGGAATGGATTCACCATCCACTCCTTATTTTAGATGCATAATGTACGATCCATGGTATAGCACAATTGCAGTTTCAGGCAAGATGTACAAAGTATTATAAATAGCAGGTGAGTTTTTTATGGGTATACTTTGTATATTACTCTCTGTGAAAAATGATGTGGAGTTCTTGGCTAGTATGCGTAGTGCCTTGTATGGTGCATTGGTTTAATAAATGCAAGAAAAAATTTACCCACAAACTCTTGAGCTGACAGTTTTCTTGATTTTAGTATACCTATATCCACAGTTACATTAATGCTCGCTCTCTGCCTCTCACTTTTATCTTACCTTCTATATTAGAGTTTTCCAGAGAAAGAGAACCAATAGGCATTTAAATATCTATATCTGTCTGGAAAAAGTTTTATTGTAAGTTGTTTGTTCATGCAGTTATGGTGGCCGAGAAGTCCTGTGATCTTCCATTTAGAAGCTATAGAACCAGGAAGGCTGGCAATGTAGTTGAAGGCCTGAGAACCAGATACCCAATGGTATACATTCCAATTTGTTTCTCAAGGCTTAAGAACAAGGAGCAATGAGTATAAGAGACAATTGATGTCCCAGCTCAGACAATTTGGCAGAGAGCAAATTCAATCTTTTGCCTTTTTGTTCTATTCAGGCCTAGGAGGGATTAGGTAATACCCATCCACCCTGGGGAGAGTCACATGCTTTACTCAATTTCACAATTCAATTCCTAATCTCTTCTGGAAACATCCTTACAGACATATCTAGAAATTGCACTTTTCTAGGTAGCTGGGCATCCTGTGGCCCAGTCAAATTGACACAGAATTATCCATCACACCTTCCATGCACCAAGGTTCTTTTCTCACCTCCTCTTTTTCTTTGAATCTGTCCTTTTTCCTTTTTCAGTTAAAACTGATCTGGGTTCTCTAATTCTGACAGCCCTTTCTATTTTAATTGTGCTGTATCAACTTCTTCCACTCTTATTTTTTTACCATTGGTTAGTAGACATATTTGGAGAAGCATTATACATAGTGGTTAAGTTCTAGGCTCTGGAGATAGACTATCTGTATTTGGTGTTAGATATGATAAACTTCTTGTCAGCCATGTGACCTTGTGCAAGTTATTTAACTTCTATATATTTTTTGCTATCTCATCTATAAATATGGCACCTTTCTCTGATAGAGCTGTGATGATTTAAAAAGTTAATGTTAAGCAGTTGAAACAGTTACTCATGAATAGTAATCTCTCACTAAAAATTCAATTGTATTAAAACAGAAAAATCCTGAGATGACAGCATTCTTTAGAGGTGGTTGTTTTAGATTTTTATCTTCTTGTATCTTGCTTATAGCGATAAATGCAGTGAAAATGAGTGAATGAAAATATTAGTTGCATCAGCATCCAATAGTGGGAACTTCTCTGCAATGTTAAGTTCCATTATCTTTAAACAAAAATTTCTCTTCCCCTCATCCCTGCTCTGTTGGGCAATCTAGCCACTGTTGGCTCCATTACAGAACTGACATCATCCTGGCTTGGAAAGATTTTAAAAGTCAGATCTATCACAGTCGTAAATGAACATTCTTTCTTCAACCCAGCAGCTCCACCTTCAAGGACCTAGAGGGCAACAGCCTGAAGGATAGTGGACATGAGGAGAGTGACCAGACTGACAGTGAGCATGATGTCCAGAGGAGCCTGTATTGTGATACTGCTGTCAATGATGTGCTGAATACCAGTGTGACCTCCATGGGATCTCAGATGCCTGACCATGGTAAGGGTTGACTGATTGTAAGTTACAACAATAGACTCCAAAGAACCCAGAATGTTTGCAGGCACATTTTACTACTTTAATGAATGTGGTATCAAGTTATCCACTAAGTTCATAACTCGGCAGCACCTACAGCAGAATCTAGTCAGATTCTTCTTCTGCTTCCCTGAATGATTCCCTCAGGATCATATACTGTTTGGTCATTTTACAGGATAACACCATATACATATTGCGTGCATTCACTTCAAAAGTAACTGCACTGAGCGAGCACACAGGAAATGAGCAGATGCCTTCTCACCAGGAATAAATGCCTCTTTTTGCTATGGTGCCTGAATTCAGCTGATCAATTGAGTTGCATAGAACACAACTCTAATGAGACCAGAGGGTAGGTTTTATTTCCCAATCAGGCTAGTTAGATTTACCGGGAGAGACACTGTTCTCTGACTACAGATTGTGTGTGCTCTTTGCTGAGGATTGAAAGTACTGAACTTCCCATTTTGTCTGGCTGCCACATGAATCCATGCCATCAGTCATAGGGGAGACCAGGGCAAGAGAATGCAGCTGAATCAATGTAAAACATTCCACTAATGTGGAAAGCACATGTCAGGAGCAGCATCCTCATGTATGAAGAAGGATCTGTTTTTGTGAACTCAGCCACACATCCCTCAGCAAGAAGCACTATTTAAAATTATGCTAGGCAAAAACCAGGATATAAAAAGCATTAGCAGAGTTCAGGAAGGCAGAATGTTCAGATGGACTTGGGCACAAATGTCATTTTCAATATTTTACTGATGCAAACATGCTGTGCAAACAGCCTGTCCTTTTCAATTAAGAAGTATGAATTCAACTTAGTGTTTAGGCTCAGTGAAGCTTCAGAATACTTGGCTATGTCTTAGAGAAGCTAGGCTCAAGCTCAGCTGGAAGTCCTACTGCTAAAAGTCTTAAAGACGAGGAAACAAAATATGGTGATTATGTGCTGGTCTTCAGCTGTTTCATTTCACTGTAAACATCATTAAATGCTTTTGTTTTGGTTTTGAAAATGAATCAAAAAATGCATGATTCACAAAACAAAATGTTTTCTATGGGAAAAATAGTCACTGTAGATTTTATTAAATTGCTAATCCATTCCCTCCCCAGCAGACCCAAGTGTCAAAGTCTATAATATAGAGAGGTCACTACCAATTATTCACTGCTGCCTTCGCTAATTGGTGAGTGGTGACATCTGCCGAGATAATATACTTTCTGGCAATCCTTACTATGACTAACGATAAAAAAAATAAACATTTATATAACTGAAACAGGAGCAATTTAATTCTCAGAGGATTAGCAGTGTGTCACAGGATGCAGACAGATATGTATCGTTTACTCCTTGCATGTGTCTCAAAGAAATGCTTTTTCATTTATATCAGAAAGGGTTTTAGTTAGATGCTCTGTGAAATGAAATGACTCCAGGAAAAGAAATAGTCATAATTGATTCTCTCTTTATGCCTGGCTAGAACAACATCTGTTTTAATTTTTAGCACATTTCTCTAGGAAAACAATATAAGTGGACTGTAGCTAGATTTTCTGTTTCTTACAAATGGGATGCATTATATATTGTGTAGATTGGATAATAACGAGAATATTCTAAAGCAAGATGTGACAGTATCCCAAGATTCTCCTATTATAAGAGATGATTAGACACACACACACACACACACACACACGCACAGATGTACTTTTTGCTGTTCCATTTTGGCAATACTTCTTCATTTGTTTCTCAGTATTTGATTTGCAAATGCGTGTCCATTATTTTTCCCATTATTCCAGCAGTGGCTGAACTTTGAGCCAATCCTTCGGTTGGTTCTTTACAACTTGAGTGGCTAAAATTTATGTATGAAGGTCTTGTTTACATAGTCTGTACCTTGTGATATCCCACTACTTCTGAAGCTTTCCATAATGATATTTAATTGTATGTCCCAAATCAACTCTAGGCTTGCCACACAGATTGTATCACCACAATCTTGGGTTGATTATTACTACCTCAAAACATAGCAATGATTCCAGCAATTAACATTTCATAGATTTACTATCTCAACCTGTAGTCACATGGTAAGTGTATTTCATTTTATCCTAAGGAACAGTTGTGCGGATGCAATTGCTGGTGAATCTACCATACATGCCTGATCTTGAAGTTCTCAGCCTAAACTTTGATCCTGATATTTCTTTTGGTTCTGCTAGAACCACTCCAAATTTGGCCTAGATAGAGTGGACCTTATATCATTGTATTGAGTAGTTTGGTTCACCCTGGATATCCTATCTGTGGCTCTATGACATTTCTAATTTCAATATTGATACTGCATGTAAGTGGACATGTAATTGATAGAAAGTCTCAGAATTTTCAAAATTAAGAAAATTTTCTGCATCTGTTCATTTTTACTTGAGCAGGAATGGTTTCTTCAGTGATCTATTATTGTGTTGCTAGTGTTCAAAGAAGTGATACAAACTGTATTTGCTCCTCCTTTTCTGAGAGACACTGGGCCCTGTGCTTCTTCACACTGCTGAAAGTTCCTCTGGGATTTGTACTTATAACTATACTATACAGTAGCAGAAGAATGCTAAGTGTGAATGCTAAGGGTACTTTATGACTTATGTAAGGGCCCAAGTGTCTTAAGTTTCAATAACTATTCTCTGAGAACTTTACAAGCCATTGGAATTCAGAATCAATAGTTTCAATGAAGGAAGTGGAATATGTAAAAGACTTTTTAACACAGAGGCCAAAGTTCAGGTATTTAGTTATTGATAGTTTGGATTGTTTTGATTACCCCATCCAAACTCTGATCTACTCTGATCTGAGCTGGATCAGAGTAGAGATAAGAAGGAATGATAGGAATCTCTGCTTTCTGTTTTACTTTCAATCCTGGCATCTCTCTTAACATGTCTAAAACCAGGTCAGTAGGTTGATGAACTAGTTGAACTGAATTTTCTGGTTGCCAGCTGACTGAATTACAAACTCCACCGTGCTCAGGAATTTATGTCTCTCCCTAGTTCAATGGCTTTTATCATCATGGCTTCCCAGAAATGAATGCGAATAAATAACTCTTTAACTTGTGCTTTTTTAACTGGCACATGGTACTGCTTAAGATGCTATTTCCCAATAGCTCTCAGAGGACCTTGACAACAAGTAAATGTGGTCATTTTGAGCAGGTTTAATGCCTCATTTGGAGCTTGAGAGTCACAATCAAATCTTCCCTCCCTGAATTTATTTGGTAAACTGACTACCTTCTGGTGGGGATAGGAATTTTGCCTCATACAATTCCTACAGGCAAATCTCTAGAAGGAGCAATTGACAAGTAGGATGGTCAGAGGTGCCAGAAGCTCATGGGTTTGTTGCATGATTTCGGATATGACTGGATTTGAAATTCTTCCTATCCTGGTTATTTCTGAGTTGAATAGTGCTGAAGTTAATAGACTTCTGGCTCCTCCTTGCTTCTTTGCATGACCATTTATGGTGACTTGGATATTCCATTATGCTTACTTAAAAATGCAGTCCTGATATGAAATTGGGGTTTTGGGGGATCATATTGTAGAACTGTACCCTAGTCCCAAGTCCAACTAATTTGCTCCAAATCATACCCAGTCTCTTTTCCTTATGATTTCAATTATTGATTATAAATTCTTCAGTTGAGAAGATGACTCCAATTGCTCTAATATGCACCCAATTTGGAGTTCAGTACACACTGAATTGATTTCCCTCCCATGTTAATTGATACCAAATGGAAGCCATGTACAGAAATTTGCAGTAACATTTATCTCCTTTTCACATCTGGAAGAAATATAATGATTCTTTATTTTCTGGAAGTGTAGGTTTTTCTGGATTTTACTAAACTTGTTTATTTTCCAATCTTATCACCTAATATCATTCAACATATTTTCTGTGCAAAACATGGATTTGAAGAACTTGATCTGTGCCTAATGCAATTGCTGCTACAAATTAGCCATGAAGGGAGCTGAGGTTGTGGCTCAGTGTTAGAGCACTCGCCTAGCACATGTGAGGCACTGGGTTTGATCCTCCGAACCACATAAAAATAAATAAATAAAATAAAGGTATATATACATGGAGTAAAACTTATAAAAATTAGCCATTAAAATGTTCTATAGTCTGCATTCTACCCATAGTATAATGTTAACCACAGGTGTATTAAGCTGTTTACACTTTCAACACTATACAATGTGCAATTTCATTTTCTCTAGCCTTTTAATGAAACTGTGATTCAGTGACTAAATATCCCTTTCTTTATCCTTTTACCTATCCCCCTGACTTATCTTCCGCTCACTAAATTTCCAAACACTCATTTCAATTAATCTCTTGGCAAAATAGGGAGTTCTCAATGGAGAATATTTTGTGACATTGCAAAGCAGCGTGCTGCTGGGCTCCAGAAATGGTAGCATAGACCAGATGTTCATAAAGTAATTGAAAATTCCATTTTATCAGAATAGCATTTGCTGTCAAAAAGTTTTATCTTTACTTCAACAAAGAGGTTGATTAGATCCCCCTGGACCTGAATTAGCATCTTTTAGGCTAGATATACTGTTTTGCAATTCATGCGGTTATTTCTTCCTAGTTTTGCTCATATAGAATTTTTTTAAAAAAGTCTTCATTCTCTTGAAAATATACTGAGTGAAATGTTTAATTATTTGAACATAGGTTTGTGTATATAGTGTTTCTATGTGGCTTTCAGATTCTTTCATCCTGCCTCAAGTATTACTAATATTAGCCAGGATTAATCTATTTACAGATATACCTTATTCATTTATTCAACAATATTTTTGAGGGCTCACTATGTGTTGGGCTCTGGGAAGTGTCATTCACTGTAAGCAATTATCTTTTTACTTTGGCTTACCTGGGGTTTATTGAGATGACCAAGTTCACCTGAATGATAAAATAAACAATTTTCATTTTAAAGACCATAAGAATAGGGCTTGCAACTATTAGAAAATTTGTTAATATTGTACCAATAAAG